TAGCCAATTTGAATAGCCCTTGGAAAATCGAATCACCTTTAATCAGCTTATGTACCACATTTAAAACAGTACACTATCTCATTGTAAAAAAGCTTTGCAAAAGGAAATCTCCTTTCTCACCACCTTCACCCTCATTCCTGGCCTTTCCTCGCTTACCGACAGCGATGGCGAAGTCCGCATTGGGCCGGTGAACGCCTTTAGAATAGCAGTTTTATCGGAAGTGGCTTTGGCTGTTGCGGTTGAGATGCTTGGAGATGCTCCGCTGATCGTGGGAGTTAGTCGTAAGACAGGTAGCTTTCCAGATCCATCTTTGGGCTCCTGTTCTGCAGAAGCTGCGCTGCCTTTCTCCTTCTCGCCAGATCTTCTCTTATCATCCTGCTCTGCAGAAGCTGAGCTTCCTCTGCTTCCTCTGTCCCTTTCCCATGATCCCTCTCTGCTTCCTGATACTCGACCGGCCAGGTGCAAACCACCTTGGACCCCTGAAGGTAAAGTTGAGTAGTCAAGCGCGGTTGCAGCAGCTGAAAATGCAGCTTCTGCAGCGGTTTTGTCCAGAGCAAAATCGTCTGGTGGGTCCAGCACGACCAGCCAATAGTCGATGCAGTCGGATCCGGAGTCATCATCCTTTTTGACTTGAAATTTCTTTTTACCAACATCTGCTTTCTTTTTGCTATGCTTCACCCTTTTCTTGGCTGTTTGAACTGCTGGAGCTGCATCTACATGCTCCTCTGCTGTCTTGTCATCATTAGGGCTCCTCGCTCTAGGCATTTCTGCTTTCCCGGGAGTACGAGTACGTTTTTTCTTCTGATTTGATAGCTGCTTAGGCGTCGCTCGACTGGGTACTGACTCATCCGTTAGCTATAAACGATCTGTATAAATCACATAATTCACGTATAATAATCCGCTTGCGGACCTTCCATCTCACCTTAATGTCTGGCATTTCCATCCGCGCTGTCATTACTTCAAGCTTGTCCGTCCGCTCCAATTTGGTCTTTTTCTTTCGCCA